ATGGCATGACAACCTTCTTAAGGGTTTGAGTCTATTTTTCTTTTTGCTTTTTAGTAGTTAGTTGATAAGGGTGCCTCAAGCAAAGCTTCACTTGGTCCTAACACATTTGTCTTTGATCCCATGGTAAAAAACAAATCGTTGTGTGTAGGATGGTGAAAGTTGTGACCTTGAAACTCTTGTGTTGGCCGATAATCATCAAGTGGTTTTTCGGGAACATTATGTGCTCAAATATTATCTAAGGTTGTTTTGGGCCCCCGACTCCGTGTCTTTAGCAATCCCAAATCTTGTGTGGTGAGAATTTGAATTGTAAGTCCAAGTCCCGAGCCATTGGTCTAGAACTTGCCCTAAATGTTTGTCTAGGCGAAATCCCAAGTGGAATTTGACTTGAGACATGATTATAGGCTCTCCTTGATCCAAATGATATCTTGAACACTTCCATATCGTACCAATAATAAAATCTCTAGTCAGCCCTTTTGAGCCTTAGACCTTTTTCTTTCAAGAACCATGCTACAAGTCTTTACCCGTTCTAAAGATACCCTCTCTTGGCACCCAATCTTTCCTTAGCACATGGCAAAAGTATAAGTTTGGGGGAGAGACGAGGATTGAAACAAAGTGGTAGAAGGTACAAAATAAAGAAAAGGACAGGCAATGAAAAAGAAAGAAATCAAAAAGACAAAAAGAATGTTCAATGTAGAAAAGAATGAAGGAATTCAATGAAAGCAAAGAATGAAAGGTGTGGAAAGTTAGAAAGGAGAAAAGATTTGAAATGTACAAGAAAGAGTGACGGTGTGTCTCTCTAACCCTTTAGAAAGAAGTGAACTGACTTAAAAAGTCAAGTGAATGTGTGCCAAAATGAAGCAAAAGAAGTGCTAAAGGGAAGATGGAACCTACTTAGACCAAACATTTCCTACCCTACACCAAAAGCCTTTACTATGTCTCCACAAAAGCCCGATATGATCTTAAGTTGAATGATGCTTACATTAGTGGTGACTCACATAAGGGGCAAGCATATGGTACCTAGTGCCGGACTTTTGACTTTTCCTTGAGAGAGATGAGTGTATTTCCATCAACCTCATTCTGAGTGATACTATCCTAAAGGTGAGGTTTTCTTAGGGAGAGTCGAGGATGTGTGAGTTTGGGTTCCACAATGACCAAAATAATAGAAAGAGTTCCTTTGATGTGTTGATTCAACTCTTGATGCTCTTGTGTCGCACTAGATCCATGGTGTTTAAAAGAGTGGATGTTGTTATGATTCATTTGAATTAAGGGCAATTTTTAGTCCCAATTGATGCTAGTGGAGGTCACTTTAGGTCGGCCGAATTTTCTTGGATTTACTCTTAAGGGGTGGGTCTTATTTTGTTTGCTTGAGGATAAGCAAAAGCTTAAGTTTGGGGGAGTTGATAACTAGGGATTATGATGCATTTTACACTCCTTCTTACTTGAGTTTTGATTAGAAATGTGTACAAAATAGTCCCAAAGGCTTACGTGTTGCACTTGATTGCAGGGTTTGATCAACAAGGTGACAATTCGTCAAAACCAGCTCAAAAAAGAGTGAAACATGCACAAGTACCAAGAACAAGTCCAAGCTCAGCAAAATAGGACCAATGCGGCCGCATTCCATTCTGTGCGGTCCGCAAAGGAGAGGTTCAGAGAGTACTCATCAATGCAGAAAAGGAATGCGGCAGCACTCCATTCTGTGCGGTCCGCAAAGGAGAGATTCAGAGAATGCTCAATTTCATGCAGCCAAGTGATGCGGCCGCACTCCATTCTGTGCGGTCCGCATTGACTTCATTGCGTCCGCACTCGATTCTATGCGGTCCGCAAAGCTAAACTTCAGAGAGCTGTCAAGTTGGAGGATTGATGCCAATGCGGTCCGCGTTCCATTTTGTGCGGACCGCAACAGGAGCCACCGCGGTCGCGGTGCATTTTGTGCGGTCCGCGGTGGCCATGTTCAGAGAGCAAGATTTTTTAGCTAAGAGCCTTAGTGCAGCCGCACTCGATTTTGTGTGCTCCGCACTAGCCCCGCAGGGATATTTTTGTCCAGCATTTTTGGCCTAGTATAAAAGTTTCTTTTCCCATTTTTAGGTCATCGGTTAGATTCTACAGCTGAGCTGCGCTCGTGAATAGTGTTTTCTTACTATTTGGAGTAATTTTACAAGAGTTTTACCATTGAATCTTCAAGTTTTAATTAGCAATTTAATATTAAGAGTTTATCTTCATCTATTTCTTTGTTTTCCTCTATTATCATGAGTAGCTAGACCCATCAGCTGGGTTGTGGCTCAACCCTAGTGTGGGTAATTGATGGGTCTTGTGTTTTAAGGTTTGAATGTCTATGGGTGTTTGATATTTGGACTAATTTATGATTTTATTGTTGAATTAGTGGTTGCAAACACTAGTTTATGCTAAGTTGATTTTGGCTTTTCTTGAGAAAGAGAGCCTAAGTCTCTAAAATTAGTCCAACAAGGAATTAGGGCGTACTCAAGAGAATTGATAGCCCCAATTAAAGGGTTAAACCGAGAGATCGTAATACCCGACTTGAACCTAGATTGCTTGCAAAAATGATCATACCCAATTGATCTTGAGAAAGTCAATTAGGGCAAAATCACTCGAACTACCGAGAGGTATAGAGTGAGTAGAATCGTGCAATGGTTATATCGTAATCCCCAAATATGACAACCTAGCCTTAGACACGAGAACCCGTCAAGTATCCAACTAGGTGAAAGTCACTCCCCTAGTGCCTTTTAACTAATTAGACAATCTTCAATAGTCTCCTCTTAGCTTAACTTAGCTTAATTTAGCATCTTAGTAGTATAAATTTAGAAGTAATATCAAAACCAAAAATGTTTAGAAGTGTAATTAGGAACAATTACGCAACTCTAACTTAGATAGAAACTCAGTTCCAATCTCTATCTCCCTGTGAAATCGATCCCGACCTTCTCGGGTAAAAGCTGCTTCGACCTCTCTTGCTACTTTATAGTAGTACAGGGTTGGCTTCGAGCAGCGACTAGTGGAAAAACTAGACCAAGTATGGCCAAAGCTAGAGTCGAAATTGACCTCCTTAAACCTCAACTTGAATCTGTTTGGGTTGGGTCAGAGGATGAGGAGTCGCCTCTCCAAGGTTTTACCCAAAAGCTGGAATACGAAGGAGTTCCAAAATATTGTAAACATTGTAGGAAGTTGGGACACAACATGATAAACTGTAGATTTTTGGAAAAGAAAGCCAACCTTGAAACTAATAGGGAAGTGGAGAATGATAATCCAGGAACTTCATTAACAGCTGAAACATCTGGAATGGACATCAGAAAGACGATTGAAGAGGCACAAAATCAACCCCAAGTTAAAACAACTGGGTCAAGAGGAAAGGAGCAGACCATCATAGACAAGGAAAATAAAATCACCAAAGACAAGGGCAAGTACCAGGTTACAGACGCTAGTCAACTCCAAGCAAATAACACTACTGATCACAAAGTAGATCCCACTGACAGAAAAAAGTTGAAGAAAAAAAAGAAGAAGAATATTAAAGCCAAAAGATTGCCAAAAATGAAGAGCAAAGTAGTGTTGAAACCAGTGATCTCACAAGAAAGTCACAGGAAACAGCGGACCAAGAGCTCTGCTTCTACCCAAAATGCACACTCTCTCAAAGTTATGGAAGAAATTCTTCAGATGCAGGGTTTACTCAACACTCCGGCTCAACAAATACAACTCTCAACGACTAAAGAAGATATCATTGAAAAAGATCGGATGATAGTGTCAAAAGAAGTAGCAATGGTTACTAATCAGGAAAAAGATAGTACAAAAGACAAAAATACTAGTAACATAGCTAACCAGGTGCATCAGGTGGATCCTATCGCAGACAGTTGCAGCTCCTCTAGCCTCCCCTCAGAGATTATCAAACATCCGGGAATTCAATTAATAGTAGACTTGAATGCAACCAATTTAAACCCCACTATGGAGAACTCGAGTCAAGCAAGGATACTACTGAAGAACACTTGTTATAAAATAGTCCCACAACCAAAAGAAAGCCAAAGAGAATGTTGAAAAAAATGTTCAAGATAGCAACGAGACAACAGGAAGAACTCGCACCAGATGATCCAGATCAAAGCACAAGAACAGGAATGATCCTTCAAACATAAGGAATCATAAAAAGAACACCTCCCCCACAAGTTCTAATGATTAGCACAATTTTTTGGAATATTAGGGCAGTAAGAACCAAAAAAGCCATTCAAAGGCTGAAAAACTTATGCAATATTAACAAGGTTCAATTTGTAGCTATATTTGAGCCTTTCATTGGTAAAGAAAAGCTCGAGGGTTACAGAAAATTCCTTGGTTTCCAACATAGTACTTCCAATTGCAATGGTCAAATTTGGTATTTCTGGAACAACAATGGCACCCATATGATGATTGCAGAGGATAAACAACATATTACCATCAAGTTTAATGACGGCATCAGTTACCATAGCACCTACATCACAGCTGTCTATGCAAAATGCACGATAGTTGAGAGATAAGAGTTGTGGGAAAGTTTGGTGGAGGATAGCCTTATCATTGATGGCCCATGGTGTATTGGGGGAGATTTCAATGTGATTATTGATCCAGAGGAGAAGCTAGGAGGGAACCCTCACAGAGTTCATAGAAGCTTGGATTTCATTAATTGTATGGATAATTGTGGGGTTACGGATCTTGGTTTTTCTGGTCCTAAATTCACTTGGTGTAATAATTGGAGTCTTCGCAAAAGAGCCTGGAAAAAGCTATACAGAATTTTTATCAACGACCTGTGGGCGCAACAATTCCAGAATAACTCTGTTAAGCACTTAGCGAGAACGGGTTCAGATCATAGGCCTTTACTCATGAAGTGTTGCAACAATAACCACAACCACGTTAGTTATTTCAGGTTCTTGAATTTTTGGGTCAACCAAAATAATTTTTTGGACATTGTCAAGGATGTATGAGATTCTAGTATTTCTGGTAACTCTATGTGGATCCTGCAATCTAAATTGAAAATGCTTAGTAAGAGACTAAGCAAATGGTCCAGAGAGGAAATAGGGAACATCAATGATCAAGTGAGCAAATGGAAAGCCGAGATTCAACTCTTATATGAGATAGATACCAACTCCAATACTGATAACAGTAGAACAGAGGCTAACAAGGTTTATGTTGAATACATTCAATGGTTGAGCAAGCAAGAATCTTTACTCAAACAGAAGACTCAAACCAAATGGTTCGAAGATGGAGATAGTAATACTAAGTACTTTCACAGTCTCCTCAGAGAAAAGAGAAGAAGACTCCAACTCCACAGAATCAAAAACCACAGGGGCAAATGGATTCAAAAAGAAAACAACATTGCTAAGGCTGCTGTCAAACACTTTGATTCCCTGTTCAATCTTCCCAAGCCCACCCTCAACCCCTACCTTTTCTCTTGTATTCCTAAGTGCATTTTAGAAGAAGATAACATGAAGTTATTTGCGATTCCTAATGAAAATGAAATCAAGGATGATGTATTCAATTTAAGTGCTGATAGTACAACTGGTCCAGACGGTTATAATGGTACTTTCTTTCGACATTACTGGGACATCATCAAACATGATATCGTTGATTTTGTCAGGGAGTTCTTCAATGGTAAAAGACTTACCAAATTCTATTCTCATACTTGCCTTGCTTTAATTCCTAAGATTAATGCTCCTGCCAACTTTTTCAGAATTCGGGCCTATCAGCCTTTCCAATTTTACCAATAAAATTATTTCTAAAATTCTTTCTAAAAGGCTGAATCCTTTGCTTCCAAAACTTATTTTTGAAAATCAAACGGGCTTTGTGAAAGATAGATTGATCACTAAAAATGTCCTTTTGGCGCAAGAAACTATTCAAAATATTTTTGAGAAGAATATTTGTGGTAATATTGTTATCAAATTAGATATGGCAAAAGCTTATGATAGAATGTCATGGGTCTTTGTTACATCTGTTCTTAGGAAATATGGATTCTCAGAAGTTTGGATTGATTTGATCAATAATCTTATTTCCGGAGTCCGGTACTCTATTATTATTAATGGTAACAGAACCGGTTTCTTTACATCTTCTCATGGTCTAAAACAAGAGGACCCTATATCCCCCTCTCTCTTTATTCTTGCAGCTGATGTCCTTTCTAGGTCTCTGAATAATCTGAATCATGATGGCAATTTTTCTCCTTTCTCTATGCCTTTAAGGGGGCCTATTATTAACCATCTTGCCTATGCTGATGATATTATTATCTTTAGTAGTGTTAATAGTACCTCTATTGAGATGATCATGAATATGGTTAAGGACTACGACATGAGCTCAGGTCAGCTGGTCAATAGAGATAAAAGTTTCTTTCTGACTGCCCCTAACACTTGTGCCCTCCATATTAATAGGATGAGAGATTGTACAGGCTTTATGGACAAGGAGTTTCCTTTTAATTACCTTGGATGTCCTCTTTATGTAGGAAGAAAGAAAATTGCTTACTTTGACTATTTGGTTCACAAGGTCATTAAAATCTCAATGGTTGGCATGGTAAGATGCTTTCTAATGGAGGTAGGCTCGCTCTTATTAAAAGTTTCCTCCAATCTCTTCCTATATATACTCTCTCTGCTATGAATCCTCCTAAAGCCACCTTTTCTCTCCTTGAGAAACACTTTGCTAATTTCTTCTGGGGCACTGATGGTGACCATAAAAAGTACCATTGGAGATCATGGAAGAACCTATGTTTTCCTATTGATGAGGGAGGTATAGGAATTAGTAAAATGAAAGATATAAGTGAGGTTCTAGCTATCAAAAGATGGTGGAGGTTCAGTACAACACCATCTCTGTGGGCTAACTTTCTCAAGCACAAATATTGCATTAGAGCTCACCCTGTTGCTAAGCAATGGTCTTCTGGCAACTCTCACTCATGGAAACATTTGACAAAGGTAAGAAAGATTGCAGAACGACATATGGTTTGGCATATTAATGCAGGTAACTCAATTTTTTGGTGGGACAATTAAACCTGTAAAGGTCCTCTCGCCAACTTGGCCCCTGGTACATACAAAAGCCCTAAGATTCTTGTCAAGGAATTCATCCAGAATGGTGAATGGAACATCATCAAACTTCAAGATATTTTACCAAGTTCTGTAGTGCAGCACATAAAGGAGATTGAAATTGGGAACAACTCTTTACCAGACAAGATTTATTGGGATCTTTCGCTAGATGGAAGATACTCCAATAAGACTACTATGCAACTTATCAGAAAAATTAAACCTAAGGTATGGCATTCTTCTATCCCTTTTAAAATTTCTTTTCTTACTTGGAGATTATGCTATAGAAAACTACCTTTTGATGATGTGATAGTCAACTTTGGAAGACAAATATTTTCCAGATGTAACTGTTGTGCTAATCCTAAAAATGAAACCATTCAACATGTTTTCATGGAAGGAGAAGTAGCTAATTATATCTGGAAACTAATAGGATCCCCCTTAGGAATTATACATCATCAAAGGGCAGTTAGATATACCATTAACAAGTGGTGGCAGGTTAAGGAGCGAAATGCAGTTCACAAGTTGATTCTTCAAATTACCCCCGCTATTATTTGCTGAGCAATTTGGAAAGAAAGATGTTCTTGCAAATATGGTAGTCAAAAGAAGTTCAACTTGCTTAGAATGGAGCATCAAGTTCTTTGGATCATTGGATCTGCAGTCGCCAAAGACTTTCCTAGTTGCAAAATTTCAATGCCTTGGAACAACTACTGTGATATAGTTCTAAAACTTCAGCCTATTCCTAAAGTTATTGTTGTAAACTGGAATAAACCGGAGGATGGCTACTTTAAATTGAATACTGATGGCAGCTTCATCAAGGAGAATGGAAAAGCCGGGATTGGAGGAATTCTCAAAGATGACAAGGGAGACTTAATTATGGCTTTTTCAGTTTCAACTCAGGGTAGTAGCAATAATTACATAGAAGCGCATGCTGCTTGGTTTGGTTGCAATTGGTGTGTTCAAAATGGCTACATAGGCTTCATGTTGGAGTTGGATTCATTGATTGTGGCAAATATGCTCAAAGAAAATAGAACCAACAACTATAAGTTGAACAACATCATGGAGTGTACCTCTCATATGATTCAGGAAGTCAATGTTAATGTCGTTCACTGCTATAGAGAGGCTAATCAAGTGGCGGATTACCTAGCTAAGCTAGCAACTACTTCTTCTACAGAATCATACTTCTTTACATTCCAACAACTCCCTAAAGGTGCCAAAGGCCCTTTCCATATAGACAAGAATAAGATGCCTAGTATTAGAACCAAGTTTGATAAGGCAAATTTTTTTGTGAGCTAATTATTCGCTTTGTAATGGGTTAGGGATGTATATATTTCTCCCTACCCCTTTTTTTTTGAAGGATAGCTAGTTATCCTTATGTTGTATTTTCAAGGACAAGGACATACCCTCTTTTATAATCCTCTGTTCTTATGAAATATACAACCCCAGCATGGGAAATTTAATAAAAAAAAGAAATAAGAATATTCGAATAGGGACAAGGGGAATTGGGACAAATAGGAAAAATATATATATATATATATATATATATATATATATATATATATATATATATGGGGAAATTAAAGCACTTAACTCTGGTTTTAGCTAAGCAAAAAATCGACGTGCATGCACGAATCATAGTAATTGTTATAAATAAAGTGAATGTATATGGATGTTCATTTAATCCATCCATACATTCTATACAATGTACTACTTGGATAGATGTACCTATTAATTTCTAGGATGTATCTAGTGAGTTTTGGGTGTATCTTGTATAGTATAAATAGGACATTCTTTGTCCATGGAAGAAAATACAAGAAACACACTTGAATAAGATAACTTCTACATTCTCCTCCTATACATCTTGTCTCTATTACTATATTGTTCTATTTTGCTCTCATTTCTTAACACGTTATCGGCACGATTATTCTAACCAATTGAAATATTTACTTCAATCGGGTATTATCTTCTTCCTAAAGAGTTAGTCAATTTTCTTACAAATTTAAGTACACATCCATTTGCTTCTAACCGTATTTGAATTTTATAAATCGCTACATGCATGACTTTGCTTTGGATATACATGACTTGGTATAAATAAATAAAAAAAAGACAGTAAGCTTTAATTTAAATTGTCATGCCAGCTTGTTCTAAGTTTAACCTTATCAAATAGGAAAATATTCTATCATTATTTTGACATTATATTGAAAGAACCTTATGAAATATTAGGAGAAATTTTATTTATTGTTATGTATAATATTTGATTTAAAATATTTTTATCTTTGAAACTAGTAATCTTGATGTGCGTGACATTCTTTGATGGAATAATAATGAAAACATCCTGCTTTGCTTAATTCCAAAAGGTATTAGTTATTGAATCTTTGATATTTATGTCTACGTTTTTGGACGATGGCAAATATTAGGTATATGTAGCAAATCGAATGGGACTACTAGTTATAGTACATATGAATCAGTGTGTTAAAAGTAATTGGTGAATTTGCATGGAAAGACTATAATATCTCTTTGTTATTTGAATGATTCACTACTGTTAATATGCCTTCATGACATGTGTATATTTATATCCAGAATATTTAAGGCATACTACTTGTTACATTTTTTTTTATCATGTAGATTAATTCTACTATTTAGTAAGATAGTTTTATACTATATTAAATTTATAAAAATTTGAATTTGTGGCAATCTATAATTATGTTTCATTCTCTAAAGAGAATGAGATAATTTGTGATAAATATTATATAAGCGTAAGACAGTGGGTTCAAGTCCCACTGCACCATGAGGGTAAGACACCAGGTTCATATTCTGGTGCACCATGATAATAAGATGTTAGGTTCAAGTCCCATCATATTATGGCGTAACACGTCTCACATAGGTAAGACATTGGGTTCAGGTCCCAATGGCCCATATTGATGATATAATAATGGCAGTGTGAAAATGACACACTTTAATAAATAAATAAAAAAATCATGAAGTCCGCTCCAGTACCGCATCAGCTCCATTCCCAGAAGCGAATGTGATAGCGATAAATCAAAAGTCTAAAAGAAGACAAAATAATTATCATGGCCGTATAAATATATGTGGGCATGGCAAGGGACGAAATAATAATCACCATACTGGTGGCCGTTATAAATAGGAGAACAATAAGGGTTCTCAGAATAATCCTTCAAAAGGCAAAGGTAATAATGTCTACCGATATGGTATGAAAAATCATTGGGCACGAATTTGACGTACGCCTGAATATTTTGTCAAACTTTATCAAGCCTCTATAAAAGGGAAAACAAAATAAAATTGAGACTCACTTGACTTTTCAAAATGATGTTGAGGCGGGCCCTATGAATAATCATGATTGTGACGACCCGGCCAGTCGTCACGTGAGTTACCGTCCCGTTTCCCCCATATTATGTCCCTCCATGATTTAATATCAGTATTTGAGTTGATCGGGTAGAATTGGATTGGTTCTAGTTGGAAATATGGCACTTAGCCTTTTTGAAGGAAGCTTGCTTTGGAAAAAGTCAACCGGAAGTTGACTATGTAGTTAGAGGGCTCGGATGTGCGTTCCGGTGGTTCGGGTAGCTTCGGGGGATGATTTCTGACTTAGGAGTGAAGTCCGAATTCAATTTGGAGGTCAGGTGTAGAATTAGGCTTGAATTGGCTAAGGTTGAATTTTGGCGAATTTCGGTTGGTAGGTGAGATTTTGATCC